AAAATTGCCTCGCAACAACAAAAACTTCTTTTTCTCAGTTCTTTACTGAAAACAGTAATTCACATGTGTACAAGTCAAACATAAAACATGTTAGTATACATTGCATTTTTCTAAATATAATTACTTAATAATTCGGCAAATTATTTTCATTTCATGCTGCATAACGTTTCTGATTTAGTTTTTTAAATTATACCAGAATATTTCTTATTGAAAACTGTCAGAATTAAAAGTAATATACGAAAGTTTAAGTAATTATCAATGTTGGTGAACTGTGCAACAATTAATAATAAAAATTTTCTCACCTCTATCAAAATTTTATTTTGTGTGTGGTATATATCCTGATATGTTTTCATAGCAATTAATTTTATTAAAGTTTAAATACTATTAATTAATAACACATACTTATTCTGTAAATATAAGTGTTACACATCTTAAATTCAACTCCACGTTTTTTAAATCAAGCAAAAAAGAAACTACTGCTACTGATAATAATAATAATATAATAATATAATAATAAAATCTGAAATGTTTTCAGATTTTAAATTACGTCCAAAGGGGTGTTTTTTTTTAACGTTTTGTGTGTTACCTTTATTTATTAAATATCATGTTCTTTGCACTTAAACCATAAAATTCAGTTCAAGAGCAATATCGCAAAATAATGTTAAATTAAGCATATCTTTAGAATTTCCGATATACACAGTCTCGCGAGCTGGAGATAAAAGTATTTTTTTTTATATATAACGTTGCCATTTCTCGCTTTTAAAGCATTGAGTTTGTAAATCAAAAATTCGTTAAAGTTTTACAAAATATAAAATCCTATAATAAAAACAAATTCCAAATTTGGGATTTCAGATGCCCATATTCGCAGTAGGATTTCGTCATTCAAAATTCGATGGCTCTATGTACCATTGTTTTATCACAATGCGAGAAATAGACAATCATTTATGCAGATTTTTCATTATTTAATTTCTTCAAATATAATGCAGGACTTCTAACATTTTGTGGCAAACAGTTTGAAAAGTGAACCGACGTTTATGAGTCCGACGCAAAATGCCAAAACGAAAGCAATAGTCCTTCGGGACTGAAATCCCTTTGGACTAATAAATAATAATAATAATAATAATAATAATAATAATAATAATAATAATAATAATAATAATAATAATAATAATAATAATAACAGAAATTTGAAATGATTCGATATCGTACCGATTAATTATTGTAAATTAAATGACATCTAAGTTTAAAAAGTTTAAACTTAGGTGTCATAGTAAAGACTTTGATTATCTTGACTAAGATAGACTATGATGACTATGACTATCTAGTAAGGACTATGATTATCTTGAGGAAGGATATTCAAGCCATAATCTATAAAAACTAATGGGAGCGCGAAGTTTTAAAATTTAAACATCATACATGAAAAATATCCCAAAATAAAAGTTGTTATCAAATTAACATTATAAACCTTTTCCTCTTCTTACCCAGTAGAAACAGGGTTTAGTCAAGTCAATAGTGGGCTATGGAAAAAAAACATGAAACAATATGAACATTTTTGAATGAAATGATTTAAGAATTAAATTAAGGAGATTTTTCCAAAAGTTAAAAAAAATAATTGCACTGATACATCAAGAACAGTAAGTATACTGATTAAAGTAAGCATACTTTTGCGCAATTTGTTTCTGATTACTTGTTTATGTTTCTAAATTAAAAAAAAAAAATAAAAATAATATAAGAAATAAAAACAAAAAAATCTAATAAATATTTTTTTTCAAAGAATTTTTTTCATATTCTTAGTCTCACTCTTAACTTTAATTTATTTATTTGTAATCGTTAGTATTGCGGTTATGTTGTATTCTGTATATTATGGAGAAAAATGTAAAAAAGGCCTACGAAAAAAACCATTCTTTTTAAAGGGGTTAATCACTGTGTTTGATTTGACTCTTGCTTTGGTATAAATACTGTCAACCAAATATAAATTTTATTTTGAATCTTGTTTCTTATACAACAGTGTTGATATATTTTTATCAACGAAGAAACCATATTTCAGAACATGGCCAAAATATGTCAGGCTGTCACATTAATAACAGTTTCGCATTTTTCATTTTAATGTTTGATGAATCACGAGAGAAATTATCAAAAGTTTTGTAGAGTTTTCCCATTTTAGGCATTACTTAATAAAATTAAAACATTCATTGTAAGATACTACTACATAAATCTTGGCAGGTAACTTGTAGAAGTATTACGTTTTTCGAAGCAGGAGGTACTAAAACTGTGAACTGCTCTCTTCGGGGTTCGAAGTCCGAATCTCCTGTTTACGTATCAGACGTGCTGCCAGGTACACTGCGAAGAAACACGGAAAGGAATGGAAAATACTTTATGTAATTGTCCTTTTTAAAGGGCAAATTGGGATGAGTAGAACTAATTGCAAATCCTTGCGATGACAAATTATCGTTCGCCACGTTTTAGTTAGGGCGCCATTTGTAAAGTCTACTATAATTTTTCGATGTAAAAAAAAATGAAGAAATCTGCAATGTTCTCCCGGTGATTTTGAACTCAGGCTTCCCGATAACGCATCGGACCTGCTTCCATTTATACCACGGAGACACGTGGAAAGGAAGAAATAAAATATTTTGTAAATTGTAAGATTAGAAAATTGGGAAAAGGCAATAGGAAGAATAGCAATAGGAAGAAAATATTTTGTAAATTTAAGATTCGCAAAAGTATTTATGGATAAACTGTAGGATAATTTTGGACGCAATATCTTCATTGATAGCTTCGTCATTTCTAACAAATGTCTAGTCCATTCTTAACAAATAAAATTAAAAACCTACATAGTGAAATTAATATAAATGGTTTCACATGGAAGACAAATTGAGATTATATTGTTACAGTTTTTTTTTTTTTTTTGTATTGAATAAGCTATTACATCCTTGTACGAAGTAAAAAGAAAGTATTGTAATCGCGAAGAGTTTCAGGCATTATATTTCAACGAAAATATCCATTTTGACCGCTATCGAATGTAATTTAACTATGTTTTTGCGTGATGTTTGTACGTAAGGACAGAATGAAAGACACTTTTCCTCCAAAAAAATTATAAAACTGCTTTAAGATGAATTCTGAAGAGAATTTTTCGTGGCGTCTGTACGAACGTATCTCGCATAACTCAAAAACGAGTAGCCTCAGAACGTTGAAATTTTGTATATAGGACTGCTATAACATGTAGATGTGCACCTCGTATTTTGGTTGAAATCGGCCGCACCAAACGTATATAAATATATTTATACTCTATTACCCGGCTCAGTAATATCAGTTTCTTTACTCTTATATGTTTGTAGATTGTACATTTTCTGCTTTAAAAATGATTGAATTAAGTTGTTCTTATCTTCCGGTTAAAGTTTTTATGCTTTTAGTAAATATGTATGCAATATTTTTAGAATTATCAACAATTTTAAAGTTGCTTAAGTGCCGCTAAGCCTAATAATTTTTTTGATGGCGACCATTGCTTGTTTAAATTTGAAACAGCAGGATAGTGGATTTGTTGCCAATCTAGAGAAATTTAACTTCGCAACAACAAAGATAACGCCTTCATTTATTATTGCGAATTAAATCATGCTTAATCCTTTCTGGAATTTTTTCGAGGAAATAAGTGTTTAAGATTTACTTCGTAATTTTTAATACAGATATTTTGAGATTTTATGAATTTTTGCCTTGTCGCAAAGTGAGAACTGAATTAATTGAATGAGAAATACTCAATCGTCTGTGGAAAACTGTTTCTTTTTTGTTTTGTTTGCTTAGTTTCTTGTATACATCGTTCTAGATTTATTATAGTATTTAAATAGAGCATGTGGCAACGATTAGATAATTCTTTAAATGATATCAATTTTGTGCATTCTGAGTTATAATATGAACGAAATATAATACTGTTAAGTGAACCTAGCGCCAGAGTGTGGCTATGGTAAACAAATAGAGTAAATTTTAAAGAATGCATTTATTCTATTGTGGTTTATGCGTTGTGGGCCAAGTAGATTTAATTCAATCCAATAAGTTTAAATTAAATGCAAGAAAAAATGCGTATAATTTTATATTTCGTACAAGGAAGTCATGTGGGTGTACACATCAGATTTTTTTTAAATAGTATTGATTAAAATTGTTTTATATTACCGTGCAATGCAGCACGAGACTTATGTGAAGAGAAAACTGCGCTGGAAAAATTAAAAATATAGGAGCACGCGCATTTAATAGATAGATATCTTGTAATTGTACTCTTTTGCTATCCAGAAAAATCAAGAAAATTCTCGTGCATTTAAAAATCTTATGAAAAACGGTAGGAAAACCTTTCAGTTCAGTTGTGTTTAGAAAACTGTTGTTGTTGACTGTAGCGATTTCACGGTGAAATTAGATTAGCTTTCACTATGAATTAGTTCTGTTGAAAGTTTTAGTAGTTTAAAAGATAACTACTGTGAGGTATTGCAATATTGTACGAATATATGAGGAAATTTAAGCATTTAATATAATAATAAATAATAATAAATTTTATCCACTTTTCATCGGATTTGTGCATTCAATTTATTGTGAACCCGTACGCACGCAACAATATTTTCGTTTCCTGGTTATTATATTATTCATAACACTCTCTATAACACATAACTGAATTAAAAACAAAAGGAGACATGAATGAAAGCATATGCAGATGAAGTTACATGTATGATGACTTCAAGACGCGGTGCGGGAAGCGCTACCAGGAAGACAGCGGATCTGGATCAAGGGTATCAATGAACACACCTTTTCCCTGAATGTCAACTACCTTTCAAATTTCAGTTAGTATTCGTGAAAAAAAAATAAATGTTCAGCGTCCAATTTGTTTCAGAGTACCTACCGAAATACCTGTTATAATTAGATGCTGAAGGTGGAAAAAAAGATGCTTTTGCACCTTGACCAAATTCTTTTTTAATTTTTTCTAAAAATTTTTGCTAAATAGGGTATAAAAGCAGCAGTTTTCTACGATTCCAACATTCGGATTTACGTAGGCAATCCAGATCTATAGAGAAATGAAGGTGAGTTCTTAGAATTGTCTCTAATGGAGCTTGGATAATCTGTAACGTTTCAGCCATTAATTCTAACTGGTTTGTATCTGATTATATAGATGCATGGGTTCAGATCTTGCTTGGGTTATATCGTTTAAATATTTAATATTCCTCTATCTTAAAAGAATAGTCTACTATGAATGGATTAAATTTTAATAGTGATTTTTATTAATTTGTCTTATTTTGAAGTAAAATGATATTATGTGTAAACATTATGTTAATTTTATTAACAGTTAAATTTTAAGTTAAAGTTCCTTTCCTGTCAAATTCTTAACTTCATCTTACTACTTACGGCCAGAAAGTACTTTTGGAATCTTGCTGAATATTTAATGAGGAGCGTATTTAAACCACGAAGTTACTTAATAATCAGAGTTTCTGATTGACGCGCGTCTGCCATTTTTGGCCACTCTCTCTCAAAGCTGTTACTCGGCCGTACTCAGACCCTTGCTAAGATTCGTAGTCAAATAAGTTAAGGGGCCAATTTGATTTGAACCTTGATAGCTTCGGCTATACTTCTTTAGTTAATCTTAGTTTTAGTTTAATTTTTAGTCTTTTAAGTTCAAGTCCAAGTGCGGGCTTTGCTTGTACACTCCCAGGCGGAGTTTTGTTAAATCTTATTGGAATAATAAAGGGTTAGTTACCCTTCTATCTTGTTGTTTCTCGCCACCGAACTCAAGCGATTATTCGCTTATCAGTTCTTAGATTCTTCACTTCCAACATTAACTTAGAATCCCGAAGTGAGGAACTCTACATATGTAATATAGGTTATACCTTTATGACTTCATCTAGAATTGATATAAAAAATGTAAATTCTTTTACTAAGTTTTCCTTTCGTTACTCTAGCTTATTCAACTGAACAATCCGCAACAATTTCAATCCCTTGAACTCATAAATATTGTAGTATATTTCGAAAATAATCTAGATATCAAGCTTCTAAAAATTAATTATGTTAATTTTCATTACTATCTCAGGCATTTGGTTGTATGAGCTAATAATAATTTAGGTAAGTTTAAGATTCAATAAAAGTAATAGCGATGTTTATAGCTAGAACTTTCCATGGAAAGCAAATTTTATTTTTGAAAAGTCTTAGCCGACCGCAGCTAATTTAAAGCCAAATAAAACATACTTTAAACTTTTCAAAGATTAATAAATGATTCTTTTAATATTAAAAATGTAGTCTGTTAGTAAATTTATTAACAGCATAAAACAGTGTCTAGGAAGTGCAACTGCATTTTGCAATCATATGATTACAAGCTTTATAATAAAAAAAGAGTTAATAGATGCTTATATATTGAACTTCATGTTATGAAAATGCAGCTAAAGTAAACGATCTGCGTAAAGTAGATAGTCTAGGTCAGTGGCCTTCAAACTCTGTTACCCGAAATGAGTCAAATCCAGGGGTTTAGCAGGTCAAAATAAAAACGATATATGACATATGTCAAAGAGAATGATGCGAAGAGCGCTGCAAAACTGAACAGTTTTCTAACGGAAAATGAATTACATTTAGGCGACAGCGTTAGAAGCACCTTGGAATGGAGCACCTTTTTCGGTTGAAGAAAACTGTAAGAGAATGTTTTCCAGAAGAGAATCTAAGTATTATGAGGTTTTGCCATTTTTACTTCTTTGTACAAAGTAAAAAGGAAGTATTGTAATCCCGAAAAGTTTCAGGCATCATATTTCAACGAAAATATCCATTTTCACCGCTTTCGAATGCAATTTAACGATGTTTTTTGCGTGACATCTGTGCATAAGGACAGAATAAAGGACACTTTTCCCTCCAAAATATATATACATATAAAAATAATTTAAATGAATTCTGAATAGAATTGTTCATGGCATTTGTACGTACGTATCTCGCATAACTCAAAAACGGATAGCCTCAGAACGTTGCAATTTTGTATATAGGGCTGCTATAACAAGTAGATGCGCACCTCGTATTTCGGTTGCAATCGGACCCACCGAACGTACATAAATATATTTATATATATCTCCACTCTGTTACTCGGCATTGTGATCTCAGATTCTTTACTCTTATATGTTTGTAAATTGTTCATTTTTTGCTTTAAAAATGATTGAAATATATTGTTCTTATCTTCCGGTTAATGATTTTATGCCTTTAGTAAATCTGCAAGCAATATTTGTACAATTATCAATAATTTAAAAGCTGTTTAAGTGCGGTTAAGCCTAATTTTTAAATAACATGGCGGGCGATTTTGTTTACGTTTGAAACAGCAGAATAGTAGATTTGTTGCCAATTTAGAGAAACTAACTTTCCAACAACAAAGATAACGCCTTCATTTATTATTGCGAATTAAATCAAGCTTAATTTTTTTCTGGAATTTTTTCGAGGAAATAAGTGTTTAAGATTTATTTCGGAATTTTTAATACAGATATTTTGAGATTTTATGTATTTTTGCCCTGTCGCGAAGTGAGAACTGAATTAATTGAATAAGAAATACTCAATCGTCTGTGAGAAACTGTTTCGTTTTTGTTTTGTATGCTTAATTTCTTTTATACATCGTTCTACTAGATATATTAGAGTATTTGAATAGAACATGTGCAACGATTAGATAATTCTTCAAATGATATAAATTTTGTGCATTCTGAGTTACAATATGTACGAAATAGAACGCTGTTAAGTGAACCTAGCGCCAGAGTGTCGCTATGGTAAACAAATATAGTGAATTTTATTAAAGAGTGAATTTATTATATTGTGGTTTATGCGCTATCGACGAAGTAGTGTTAAGTCAATCTAATAAGTTTAAATGAAATGCAAGAAAAATGCATATAATTTAATAGTCCGTACAAGGAAGTTATGTGGTGTACACATCAGATTTTTTAATAAGGAATACAGTACTTTTTTTTAATTCTGTTTCGTAGAGTACCTGTAGCATACTGATCTACTATAAATATTAGTTAAAGATACTTTTTCTAAGTGTAAGCTGGGGTCGTCCGAGAAAAGCCTCATATTTCTAAGAGTTCTGTGAGTTGACAAAGTTTGAAGACCACTGATGTATCCAGACAAATCTTAGGAGATCCATGTTTGTTTTACCGCATTCAAGATATATTTTTCTGAGGGTAGGATAGTGTTCCCAGAAAAAAAAAAAAAAAAAAAAAAAAAAAAAAAAAACGATCTTATAGTTCTAAGATTTCCGTGAGTTGACAAAGTTTGAAGATGACTGATCTGAATCAATTCCTAATGTTTTAATTCTGCATAAGGGCAGAAATACGTGTTAGAATTTGAAGCGAAAAAAAAATAATAAACAATCACTGGGTTCTTATAATACTGGCTTAGATTTCAGTTTAAGAGTTTTAATTGTTGGTGAAATGTGAATGTTCTTCAAGTGAGAATAGTAATAGCAAGATGCAGTGTAATTAGATCAGTTGTTTCAAACTGGCCTAAATCTGCGGGATTTCTAATAGAAGATCCTTAGAGTTAAATCCCGCTGTAGTTACTTATATTTAAATTTTATTTTTCAGATCCTCATCTTGTGCGCTCTTATTGCCGCTTCTCAGGCAGCAGTCCTTCTTAATCATGGATTGATTGGAACTGGAGCTAGTGCACAATACAGAAGCCAAGATGTAAGTATTTATTACTGTGTAGAGTTATTACTATTTTAATTAACCAGTTATTTATAATTTCAGCCTTTACTATCACTTCTCCATTTCCTTACCAGAAATGTAAATCGGTTTGAAGATATTTAAGCTGATGTTTTCAAACTGTAAGAGAGAGTGTTTCTGTCTTTTGAAGACACGTTACTAGGTTTAGCCCTCTTATTAGATTGTGATTCTTGTGCTTGGCCTTAATTTGCCGACATTTAATTGTTATGCAGCTACAAGTTCTGAGCTAACTTAGGATTTATAATTAATTCGGAAGTCTTTGACTACTACGCTTAATTTGAATTTGACTGTTACTTTAAGTTACATCGCCTAAAGTACTGGCTGATCTCAGGATACCCTGAAGAACTAAAATACTTCAGGGTGCATTAGTAAGCCTCTAAAATAATATGTTATGGCTGTTGTTTTAATATAAAGAGGTGAAATAAGCATTTAGAAAGTACAGTTACCTGTCTCAATACAGAGAAACAAACTATCTCTTGTTTAAGGCGTCAAATATTGAAGAAGTGTTAACACTTAAATAATTCTGGCCGAGCTGACAGATAAATGGGATACTAAGGTTTCAACAATTAAAAATGGCAAAATATTTGAGTTTAAATTCATAAAAAAGCATTAAGTATTTAAATACTGAAAAACATTTTTAGAAATAAATTTCAAACAAATCCTGTTTCCCTAATAACATGTTTTCAAACCAGCATTGTAGAGACATCAGGATTTTTTTTGGAAGCCGGAGAGGTGAAAAATTAGCAACGCCTTCGCTGGGAATCGAACCACGGACCACTCAATTACGCGCTGAGCGTGCAGACAACCACACCACGAAGGCATGCCAAGAAGTCGAGAGAAATATTTTATATGCTCCCCTTTTAAAGGGCGACTGGTGTGTTTAGGGGACCGAATCGCCAAATCCTGGGTGAGGAAAATCATCATCCAACCCTCTTTTAGTTCGAGCGCCATTGTAGAGACATTAAGTAATTTTGGAAAGCAGGAGTGATGAAAAATTAGCGCTGAGCGTGCAGACTACCACACCACGAAGGCATGCCAAGAAGGCGGTAGAAATACCTTATATGCAAAAATTATTTAAATATTAAAATGAGAAAAGTAAAAAATTCCTAGTAAAGGCTTTCAATTATTATATATTTCACTAATAATGTGACATTTTAGGCATTTCAGACAATATTTAAAGCAATTGTGTACTCCTCTAGGCATTAAATTAGCTTGTTTGTGTTTAATTGTGCAGAGAGTTTTATTTCTTTTGAATGAGTACTTCTTTCTTAGGACAACTTCTTTCCTTCTGTGTCATATTAATTTGCCTGATAATAGTTATTGTAAAGTAATTTAAAAATCACGGATATTTCTTCCATAAATGATTATGTTTAAGTTTTCTAACTGAAATTATCACTACGATAAGTGGGATAAAAATAATAATTAATCTTTTGCAATATTTAGGGTCTTGGCAACTATGCTTTCGGTTACAACGAGGGTCATGGATCCGGAGCCACATTCCGAAAAGAAACAGGATCCCATGGAGTCGTTGCCGGATCTTACGGATTGACCGTAGCTGATGGCAGACAAAGGATTGTCAACTACGTAGCTGATGCAGCTGGATTCAGAGCTGATATTAAGACAAACGAGCCAGGAGTTGAGCCCAAGGATCCAGCTCATGCCGCCATCAATAAAGCTGGAATTATCGCCCCTGCATTGACATACGCAGCTCCTGCTGCTGTCCACGTCGCTGCTGGTCATCCTTTTGGAGCCTACAGCTACAACACTCTTGTCGGACATCATGGAATCGGACACCATGGTCTTTGGTGGTAGAAGATATTTAGCTAATGTTAACTTATGATGATGCTTTAATTCGTGTTAATGATCTCTTGATTTTATTGATTGCACGGTTTTTAACCCTGAACATTCTAAATAGAGCTTATTTGCATAGTGCTAAGATCAGTGTGTTCATTTTGACCCTATTCAAATAAAACTCTACTGAATAACTTGTCTTTCTTGTTTGTTATCTTATTCTGAAAACTACCATGATCTTTTGTTGTTTTTTACTCTATGCAAATAATTCGTTTGCCTTACCTATCATAATTGGGTAAAAATAACAAAAATAATTTACAAAGAAAGTAATTAATATTTTGTAAACATAGCACTTCATAAGTATTTTGGTACTAAATGGCTTAAAAGGGGGAAAATCTGATGTGGCCACCACGTGACATCCGTGCACAGCCTTATTAAATTATACACATTTTTGGTTGCAGTGAATTTAAACTTATTTCCTCCAAATATAATAACTGATCGCTCAGAGGAAGTTGAAAATGACAATAAAAAGTTCGAATTTTAAAATTAAATGTCCCGTTCTATTTTAATCGTAGGACAGTCAGATTTTTTTAAATTTTATAAAACGAAGGTGCTCAGCTAAATGCTATAGCAGTCCCATATACAAAATTTCAACTATCTGCAGCTAATCGTTTTTGAGTTATGCGAAATAAATACGTACCTACAGATGAAAGTTACGAAAAATACATACGTAAACATAGACGTATCGAATGGCTTTAATTTGAAGTATCTTGTACAAATATCAAAAGAAGGGTGTTCTCCTATCTTGCAAAGATAAAGGAAGAATAATAAATAAGAGTAGCAATTATGTTTCATTGACCTTGATGAAACCTGACAATGAAAATTTTATAACGTCAAGAATCCTTTAGAAATAAGAAAACTTGAACATATACTTCTATTTCTGGAATTCAAACATAGAATTTAAAAAAAAAAAAAAAAAAAAAAAAAAAAAAAAAAAAAAAAAAAAGCACCTTGTTATGCAGACCTACAGCGCAAGAATGCAGGGAAGTTATGCAATTCGTTTCAATTTAATCTTCTTAATTCTTAATTTTTCGAAAAATAATATATGCAATTATAAGATATAAAATTTCTTGCAGAAAAATGCATATAATGCTCTTAAAAGGGAAACCAAACGTTACATTTGGTCTACAGACAGAATGTTTGATTATGGCTGAGAGAATTTCGGTGTTAATATTGCTTTTCAGAATGCAAGTGACTGTATCATATATAGTATCTTTATGGTGATTCTCAATCAACTATGGTGGCTTTTAAGTTACTAATGTTGGTTCTCAAGCAACTTTTGATTGATGTCAGTCTTTGGATAACATCTGAGCAAAAATTAACAAAGGAACTACATTTGTTATGTCAGTAGATTTTTTCAGAGTCTATGCAAAAATATCAAAAGTAATAATCAGAACCAGTATCATTTTTGAATAAACAAGATCTCATTTTATGGAGACTTTCATAGACAATCAGGTTTAGTTGTGAGCCTTTCTGAATTCATAAGTATTTCCCTTTCAACTCGAGATTGTATTATGCATTCCGAATTAAATTGAAAATATTTGATTTGGCAGCCTTGAATTAAGAAAGAAGAGTTCCAAAAATAATAATCCTTTTTATATAGAAGCTATTTAAGTAAAGTCTCTCTCCATTTATATGAAATTAGCGCATTGCATTCAGTTTGCACTATGATATGAAACGGTAGTATGTCCATCCAAGGAAAACATATCTGATTCTTAAAGCTTCCTGCTCCGAAAAGAAAATTAATTTCGCTACAATTTTACTTTTGGTGCAGTTAGTGTTAACATAATAATCAGCAACTCATTTGCTTTATAACGTTCTGCCTATCAAATTTCGTTAACCCTTTCGCCGTCTTCTCCTGTCCGCGAAAATTTCTCCCCATCGGCCCTTTGTTTTTCGCGGCGTGTAATGTTGTTTTCTCTGTACATACATAGTGGAGGAATGTAAATGAATATTAAGTAAAACTGTAAGGAAATAAAGCATAATGGAAAAGGGATCCTCTCTTATCTCTTATCTTATTAATAACACCTCTGCTTATTTCTAGCAGCAGCATTAATTTGATAACATCTGATCCAGGCAGTCCACTCCTCCCATTTTGTTGTTGTAATTTTTTACAATTATTGTTTTTTTTACAGTTCATTTCCGTGTTTCAACATCAATCATCGAGTTATTATGGACTGTACTCATCAAACGTATATCCTTCTTGTCTTTCCAATTCACAACCTCATTTTTTTCTCTTTTACTGCTTAGTAGACGTTGAAGATCTCTCACTGTATTGTATCTTATATAAAATGGCGCGAATATTCATAAAACCCGGGGGGGGAATTCAATTATAAATAGAATGTCTGATTAGTACTACACATAGGAATTAGAACAGGTGACAGGTGACGGAGGACGGGGACGCCTGGTGTTTAACGGAGGTAAACAGGCATATGTCCCACGCCCTCCCCTATATAGATACAAGAACTCCCTGGGGTCCCACAAGGGCGCACCGGGAGTTACTGAGTCTTCATGAAAAAGTTTACACGGCCATACAGGGGCTATTCCAGTTTGACATTGGCTCTGTACAGATTCTTATGTTAATGGTTGACCTGGGTGTTCATAGGCCATAATGCATACATGAAACATAACATTACATGGTGACATGACATTAAACTTATACATAATACTTGCATGAATTAGTACATACATACTTTACACTTCACATGACATTAGACTACACATACATAATGCATGACATTAATCTACACTTATTAGAGTTATAACCTGACTGTATACTACGTTAAGCTAATTGTATTGCGAACTTGCTAGTTACTTTATAACTGGATTACTTATAGTTTACATTATTGCTATTACTTCTTAAATGACATTATGCTTATATAACAAGATAGGCACACATACTTTGCCTTATAATCATATATGCGTTACTTAAAACAATACATATGGGGCACGCGTTACACGCGCTAATGACTACATTACCGATTACGTTATTGTTAAAAGTACACATAGTACGACGTATTACACTCATTGATTAAATTACTTACATTACACTATTACTTACATTTACACAGTTACTTATACACTTACATATTTACAATTTTAGACATAACACCTGCTAAGTTACAATAGAGACATAGAATTATTGCGTTGTGTATGCTATTATTCCTATGTTGGTTGGCAGACATCCTGCCCTAGGGCGCTCAGCTGCTGTATAATTTTACATAAGGAATTAGAACAAACAAAAATAAAAACTCGAACAAGTAAAAAATTTAGATAGCGTTATAAACGTTTAAAATTTTAAAATGTAGAAGAACGCTTGAAGCGCGTTACGGCCGCCCTGCAGATGTTTCACTTGAACGCGCTAGATGCGTTACGGACGACGAAGAGGTTAATATACATTTTTTGTTGTATCATCTCTATTAAGTCCAATAAAATCCTTAATGAACATTTTGCATTATTGAAAATACAGCTGAATTAAAGGGGAAGAATTAATGACATTAATTTATTATCAAAAGTATTTGCGGAACAGTATGGAAACTGTAAATACTGTTTTCTAATAGTATTAAAACTCATAATTGGAATTGAGGCTATTGAAGTTGATATACGCTTATAGTAATGAGCTACGTATGTTGACTACACCTCAGGCATCAGTAATTCTGTGCTGTCTTCCATTAATGTGAACTGTAGCAGTTTCCACCTTAAGAATTCAAATTTAGACCAGTTCAACGTGGCCTTTTTCATGCTTTCTAAAGTCCAGGTGCTGAACCTGGAACATAGCACGTATGCCTAGAATTTGTTTCAAGAGACCTAAAGTCCAAGTGTTCATTTGAATATCATAAAGAAATTAAAAGAAATGTGTCTGAAAGTGAAATATACCATATTATCAGTTTCCCATTTATTATTTTGGGGCGGGGTATAAATCTTGCCTTGCTTAATATTTTATTTTAAAGTTTGCTGGTGAACGACACCTACAGTTTGAGGTTAAATTTTATCTTAGATAACTGTAACCGTTGATTGCATTTTACATGATATTTGTGGAAAAGCTTCAGATCGGTTCCTTAGTCGAATTTCTAGTCAAAATTGAAAATTTCTGTCAAACTGAACTTAGCGAAGCCTGCCCACACCATAACAGATCCACCTCCACTTTTCCTACTGAAACAGTTGAGGCTTCTTTAGTAAGTCATGCCAGTAATATGAATGCCTGTCATGACCATCTTTTTTTTCATCAGTGAAACTTAGAGTCGCCATTTGTCGCCATATGCCATGTGGTTACGGGTCCACTGCAATCTCATTCGTTTGTGAAGCTTTGAGAGCGGTAATGATCGAGACCTTTTTAAGTGAATCATATAACCAGATTCCTTAATTCGCCTATGAACAGTGCGTTTGGATATTCGCAATCCCCAAGCTCTTGTAATTTGGAAAACCTACATTTTCTGTGTCGAAGACATTCTTTGTATCCGACTTTTGCTGTGATAATGCGTCAGTCGGGGTCTTCCTGAACGTGGCTGATGTGGCTCTTACGAGATCGGTTCAGAAGTTTAGAAATTCCTTTAATAGACCTACCATGCAAGTAAAAATTTAGAATCGTATTAACTTCAGTATCAAAAAATTTTAGGCATATTGAAGCGCAGTTCAAATAATCTCTTTTCCTTTTTTAAATCGTTGGCTTAAATGAGGGCATTATCACATAAAAGACTTCTCCATCATGATTGTTGCTAACCAATTTGCATAATAAGACATTTATCAATTATTATGTTTTCTATTTTTATTTTTTCTAAAAGACAAATTGATATTTTGGTTAAATATTTACTCGAATGCAAGGCACATATAGTATTTTAAATAAACATATTTTAATTGGGTAATTTTATACATTTTTATTTTTCTTGAATGTGTAATTTACTTGAGTCTATAAACTTTGGGGACAGATTGTATATGCTTATATACGGAGTTTAGTATTAAGATTCATGATGATAAGTCACACAAACGTAGTTGATTAAAATATATTTTGCCAAAGCGTTATTCAAAATACAGTTTTATTACATGGTCCAACAAATTAGTTTTACAATGAACAGTTAAGGTGATGTTTTTCATTAAAAAGTAAAAAATACATTTCCGAAATGGGACAAGCAAAAGCACTTTGATTTCTGCTTTTGTGTAATATCTGAAAGGATGAAACCAGCGAATGTATAACCTTTCGGAATTCGCTTTTTCTGCACTCACTAGAAGCCAGGCAGATAAGAATGGCAGTTCATCCTTAGTTTAAACCCTGGTGGACAAACTAGCTACTTGTGTATTTTGTGTTCATCCAGCGTGTAACATTATTACGAGACAAGTTCGCTCATTATCCTCAAGGAAAACAACCATTCTTTGAAAACAACCCTACAGTGCTTTGTAATTTAAAAAAAAAAATATCGAATTTAATGCATTTGCTGCGAAAGCTTAAAATCTAGTTTCATCTGAAGCTTCTTTTTTTCTTTATGCGAGCGTCTGATGTAATAGATTCTAGTATTAAAACATCGATAAATTTTTAGAAATTTTAATTACTACTTATTATTTTATATGTTTGTTTAGTAAACATTAATTTAAAGCTTCTCATAACTATGAACAAACTTGTTACAGATAACAAGTTTCCACCGTGTAAAATACACTTGAAATAGTTTCATGCAAGCAGTGTTAGCCAAAACAATTTGATACACGTAAGTGAGTTTGTTTGCACTCTAGGGTAAATTGTATTCTTAATTCTATACCCTAAATTGTTTCAAAATTAAATTCTTTTTAAGGTTTTAAGTTATTAAAGAGAATGATCTTACCTATAGAGATCTATGTATGCATATATTTTGAGATAGAAAAGGAAAATCAAGGACATCATTTAAAAATAAAACCACTTTATTTTCCCATCTTCACACACACAAAAGCTAAGCACCCTTTGAGCAGATGCGTTAACAGAAACCTCAACAATTGGCACGATAAAATTCAAAAGTTCCGTCACAGTTCATTTGGGATAAATTTACCAATGGTAGGCATAATGGCCCAAACCATGAGGGGCCCATGCAGCTCCATTATGTCCTACGGCCGTGCTGTAGCTGTAAGCTCCCAAAGGATGGCCGGCATAATGTAAGGCAGCAGGGGCATGATGAAGGGGAGCGGCATGGTGGAGAACAGGGGCGGCATGTGCAAGAACTGGGGCGGCGACGACGGCCTTGTTGATGGCAGTGTGAGCTGGGTCTTTGGGCTCAACACCGGGTTCGTTTGTCTTGATGTCAGCACGGAATCCTGCGGCATCAGCAACATAGTTGACAACTCGTCGGCGACCATCGGCATCACTGAGTCCGTATGATCCGGCAACAACGCCATGAGATCCGGTTTCTTTGCGGAATGTGGCACCGCTTCCATGACCCTCGTTGTAACCGAAGGAGTAGGTACCAAGACCCTGGAAAAATTATTTAAATAATTATATCGTTTTCCATAACAAATTAAATAGTTAATAAAATATGGATTGCAGTTTCTTATCATGAACACTCTAAATTACTGGTGAACAATCATCTACTAAATAAACTTCTTGTTCAACGGCGATATTTTTGCATACCTCGAACAGCTTCTGGAAATATTACTGTAAGCCCTTTTTTCCAGACATCTTAATCCTCTTTCTTCCATACTTTTTTTACTTCCACATTCCGAATTGCCTTTATTGGTAGAAGACGCTAAAAATGTGTCGTACTTATTTGTGCGAAATAAAGCAAAAGGAAAATTGAGCTAATTGTGCTTTTATGCTCCGAGTGTTAAAACCTGAAATAACTCTTTCCAATAATAAGGCTGTATGTGATTCGATATCTGTGATTCCATGGATGTTACTTTAATAAGCTAGATTGTGAATTAACAACGAAGGTTCCTCAAATCATGACTAAAGAAATTTTGCATCCTAAATCAGTCGAGAACACGAAACTACGAAAAGCGATGTAATGTTCGAAATTAAGAATATGTAGAAGTGCGATATTTGGTTCCACCGAATGTACGAAATTATCCTCTGTCAAAATCGTACAAAAAATATAACCAATTAAAAGTCGTTAAAATATTAGAAATATCTTCTTAAAATGTTTAGAAACATATGCACATAACTTGATTTTTAGCAGTAGATCTAGTGGAAAACCAGTGCATATTTTCAGCTTCTATATTCATTTTATTATAGTTTCTCATTTTTATTTTATTTATTGCTTTTATTTACATTCTAAGTGAAATACAATGAACTGATTTACGAAATTTAATATAAAATATTTGCACAGTATGTAATTGTTATTAGATTTAATTTCATTATCGAATCTTTCATTTTCATAAAAATTTCATATTGTCTGCTATTAACTGCTGAATCCTTGTCTTATATCAAGGTATTTCAGTGTTATTTCGTTATGTTAAACCTATTTTAATGATTCCAGTCTAGAGAAGGAGATGTTAAATGCTTAAAGAAAATACTTCTTAATATTTACAACAATGTCGCAATAATCAAAGATGGAAAAGTAACATTTTATCCACTCAAAGTAATACTAAAACCACAAGCTGAGCATTTATCTAAAGCTGTGTTACAGCAAGCAGTACCGCAATATATCTTTACAAAGATAAATAATATGCTGAATATTTACAAAGATAAATAATGTGCTGAAATATGTATGTTCTTGGTGTAGTACAATTCGGATGATGTTATTGAAACTTTAATTATGAAATTTGCCATGCATGAAGATTACCTTACGCAGCAAATATTATTTTTCATTTTAACTACTACACAGTTAATTATGCGCGTTCAAATAAATATTTGTAACTTCTCTATCGACTCATTTTAGAATAAAGGATTCTGCTACGAACAATTTAAAGCAAATTGAATTCAATGGTGAAATATATCTACATATATTTCTCTTGTAACACATTTCATTGCAACTCATTTTGTTTATGTTAATGTTTTCACGGAACCACAGTATTTCAGCTGCTTTTTAGCATACGAACTAGGATTTTTCTTTTACCTTTTTTCTAAATTTTGCCGCACAATGCGGCAAAATTTAGAATTTAGTTTTTGACCACATAGGTCTTTTATCATTTGTTCTTTATACTTTACTTTAAATTATATATATATATGTAATAATAAAATTCCACAGTCAAAATTACACTTAAATTCTAACTGTATGTTCTTTTCATTTTTAATGGCGACGTTCTCTTATTTGAAAGTACGTGGAATTAAATACACAGCCCCGTAGTCAAGTTGTTTTTCCCGCCTTTTCTACACGTACAGTTATAGAATGTTCTGGAAATATTTAAAGCGAACTGGATTGGCTGACGAGGCTAACGTCATTTCTTGGAAGCTCCGCCTTTCTAGAGGCTATAAAAGGACTCGCAAAGGAATATCGGGTTTTTCTTAAATGTCACTATGCAGTAAACTTCATACAAAAAGTTATTAGTAATTCTTTTTATTTACTCCGGATACCTGATTTTGTAACTGCTATTTTCTCCTGAATAATAATAAATGGATCCTGTTTTTTTTAAACTTATCGTCTGATAATTTAAGCTACGACTAAAGCTGGTGCATCACATACATACATATATATATATATTAAACATATACATAAACTTAAAAATAGGAAAAATATTATACTATCTTGGAAAAAGTTTCTTAGAAATTTAAAAGTATTTAATTTGAAAAACGAGAAACTATTAAATTTAGAGCTAAACTTTAATCTAAAATTCTTAAAAACCCTTTAAAACTAGTAGTAGTAGTAATATACTTTCTTTCTGCCTATATATATATTCTCACAATTTTTCTATATACTCGCAAAACAGTTAGCTTTCCTTGTAACTAAAAGATAATGAATTAGAAAGTTCACATAAGAAATTAAAAAAAATTTAACTTTGTCTAAATTATTAAGGAAAGCGTTTAAACTGCAAATTTAATTGCAACTGAAATTCAATGTTAGTTTGTCAATGAATTATATGGAAATGAACTAGTACTGTTTATGTTTGTCATTTATGACACTAGAAACAGTAAAGACAAACGTAATAGAATATAAGATTGAGTATAATAAGTGTGATAATCTTTTACTTACATCCTCGCTTCTGTACTGTTCACTTGCTCCACCGAGCAAGATGGCGGCCTGAGAGGCGGCGAATAAAGCGAAAAGAATGAAGACCTAGGAACGGAAAATTCTGAGTAAAAGCACATGTCTTGAATGGTTATTAGATTTACAAATACTCTTTAATTCAATTTTTAAGCACATCCACAAAAATTAACTTAAATATGATCTGCTATTATGAAAATCAGATAAACTAAGAAATCATTAAGAAACTAAGACGTATTTCATTTCATTCTTTCTAGTATTTATTCACTTGGATTGAAGACAACTGCCATTTGCCATCACGAACTGACAGAAGCCGAAGGGATAACGTATTTTCTTCCTGCTTTCAGCATGCCTACGTGGTGTAACAGTTAGCACACTAGGCGCGTATTCGAGTCCCGGCGAGGGCATTGCTCATTTCTCACGTCTCCTGCTTCTAAGTATACAAATGGTTCTACAAATGTAAGGCAGAAAATGCTCTTGTATGAGAAATTTTACAAACATTAGTTTGCATTTTCTGCCTTCTTTCCGCATGCCTTCGGTGTGCATATGTTGGAAGCATACTCGACGCGTATTCAGGATGTCCAGGGTCGGAGTTCTGGCGAAGGCATTGCACATATTTAACGTCTCATGCTTCGAAATAACCTAATGGCTATACAACACGAAATATAATTTCTTCAGGAGCAGGAAGTTTGTAAAAGAAATCTTACTGTTAGTTACCTTGAATTTCAGATACATTTTGGGAAACCATGAAAACTCTTATCTAGCGTATATTCCTGCATATAACGCGCACCTATAATTTCAAACTACATTTTAAAATTTTTGGATATATTTGTCGTACAAGGTACACCTTTCTGCCAAATATATCATTCCAGTCTAGAAATAGAGTGTGAGTGGATAACAAAAGCATGCAATGAAATTAAACCCGGCAAAATTCAAAAATCATTTTAAAAGTGTAGTATATCTATCTGTCTAATGTCTAGACTATTTGTTTATGAATGGCGAAGAAGAGATGGTGAAGATGATACAGAATTCGATGATTTGCCTGAAGATACAGTGGATGGACAAAAATATGGAAACACCTTGTGAAATGCATGTTTGAAAAGAAAGATTGATTTTAATGAAATATGTAGGTGGCGCTGGCGTTTTTGACTACTGTTCAGTTGTTGTCGGAGTACTGTTATGTGAGGTTGCCATTGCATTATGTCAGAGTTAACAGACTTCGAACGTGGACAAATTGTTGGAGCACGTATGGTAGGTGCTTCCGTAAGCAAGGTAGCCGAGGAGTTTAGTGTTTCAAGAGGTACTGTATCGAAGATTCATTCCGCATATTTGAAAAGCGGAAAAACATCATCTGCTAAATCACAGCGCGGACGAAAGTGTGTCCTGAGTGATCGTGACAGACGATCATTAAGGGCAATTGTGACGAAAAATAAGAAGACCACAGCTGCAAAAGTTACTGCTGAAATGAATGTTGTGTTACCGAACCCTGTGAGTACCAAAACAATTAGAAGGGAGCTTCATAAACAGGGAATTGCTGGCTGTGCTGCAATTGAGAAGCCACTCATCAGTGATGCTAATGCCCGTAACAGGAAAAGGTGGTGTTTAAGTCATAAAGCCTGGACTATAGAGCAGTGGAAGCGAGTAATATGGTCTGACGAGTCTTCTTTCACATTGTTTCCCACTTCTGGCCGAGTTTACGTCTGGAGAACGCCATCTCAAGCCTATAATACAGACTGCTTGTTGCCAAGAGTGAAACATGGCGGGGGTTCTGTTATGGTTTGGGCAGCCATATCGTGGTTCTCTCTTAGCCCCATGATAACTGTGTCAGGGCACATGACTGCCAAGACTTATGTGAACATTTTGGCCGATCAAGTTCATCCCATGGTACAAACTTTGTTCCCGATGGTGATGGTGTCTTCCAAGACGACAAAGCCCCTGTTCACACAGCTCACATTGTCCAGGACTGGTTTTCTGAGCACGAGGATGAGTTGTCCCATCTCCCCTGGCCACCACAGTCACCAGACCTGAATATTATCGAACCTTTGTGGTCTACATTGGAACGGAAAGTGCGTTCTCGTTATCCACCGCCAACATCGTTATCTGAACTTGCCACCGTTTTTCAGGAAGAATGGTATAATATTCCCTTGGCAAACATACAGGAACTGTATTTATCCATTCCGAGAAGACTGCAAGCTGTTTTGGATGCCAACGGGTTTCCTACACCATATTAAGCAAAGAAACATGTTTTATTAAAGGTGTTTCCATATTTTTGTCCAATCCCTGTATAACGGAAGGTAAATAAAGGTAAATAGGATGAACGTTTTGTGTTATCCGATAATGAATATTTTGAAGTTTGTAGGTTTGTCATTTCTTTTAAATAAGCAGCAATTAGGTACATGTAAAAATATAATTTTTGTATAATCATCTTTTACATATGTTTAAATCTAGTATAATTTTTATATCCGGCGCATAATATAAGACGCACCCGTAAATTTAGACCTTATTTTCTGGATTACTCTGATACTCGGGAAACCAAATTCCTGATAACCTTTGTCTCTTCAGGATTTTGAACATTCTACTACTTTCCTTCCGTGCCTATGAAAGCTCTGTATGAGACACCAGCAGCAAACTGTGCTTATAATTCGTTCAAGTGTTGATGATCAAGAAAACGTTTAGAACTGAATCATATATGATGAGTGAAATTGGTAAAAATTTAATACTTTTGATATAAAAACAATAAAATGTTTAAAATGCAGGATAAATTTGGTAACTTCTTCATAAGTATTTTTTCCATAAAGTATTCACTCATTTAAACGTAATACAGTAGATTTCAAATAAAAAAAAGGGTTTTAAAATTATTAAAACTTAAAAAAAATTTCAACAAAACTATACACATTTAAATTTTAATTGTTAAATGAAATTTTTTTTTATTAAAATTCCAGAAAAATGTGTTTGATTGTAATATTTAAAAATTTAGGTACCCATCTTTGGCCCAATGAACGTAAACTCCAAATTAAGAAAAATGCGTTATATATTTTTACAAACGAATTATAAAATCTTGCGAACAAAAATTCGTAATTTTAACGAGAATGACTGCAGTTATTGGTGGAGACTGCTACACAGCTAAAATGAGAAATATCTAAAATAGTTAGTTTGTTTTATGTGATTACGGCAAAGCCTCAAGTGTTATCTGCCTAAGGGAAGGGATGCCTTCGTGGAGTACTTTGCAAGGAAAACTGGCTCGTATGCACGTTACACATGGGGAAAATCACTGAAAAGCCCATGCAACTAGACGTTCGTGGGATGGATTCGAGCCGAACTACCAGTATTCAGTGACTATTCAACGCTCTGCCGCTGGTGAACAAAAGTAATCAGAAAACTTAGATAATATAAATTTACTATAAAAATTTAAATAAATAAGAAATGAAGACAATATAAAATATAATTATTTAATTTTATATAAACCGTAAAGCTATATGTTTCACAAATCGATTATTACTAAGAGGTAAGATAGATAAGCTCTTAAAAGTTTTAATTTTTCTATAGGCGAATTTCGATAATAAAATAAAATTCCCGATACGTAGTTCAAAAATGAGTTTAGGTAAGCTTAAAAGGCTAGAACTGAAAGATTTAGAATAATTATTAGAGATTCAAAAATGAGTTTAGGTAAGTTTAAAAGGCAAGAACTGAAAGACTTAGAATAATTCATAGAGATATAAACAAAAGTTTAAGTAAGCTCAAAAGGATAGAAATGAAATATTTAGAATAATTATTAGAGATTCAAAAATGAGTTCAGGTAAGCTTAAAGGGCTAGAAATCAAAGATTAAGAGTAATTCTTACCTTCATGGTGGTTTCTGGAGTGCTTGAGCTGGAGTACTCAATGATATTCCGGACTGTGAACCCGAACCTTTTTATACAAAACCGGTGACAGGAAGGTGTACCTGGTTTTCTAACGGGTTACGCAGGATTATGAACGTAAATTTTGAGAAATAAATAACAAAAATAAACACCCTACAGTAGAAAAGGGGAAATAAAAAACTGTCAAAAAATCCGCGCCCATCTCTCGAATGTCGAATGCAAATGGTGACGAGGAATGTTCATTGTTGAAAGGCCACGATGGTTTAGAGCCTGGCACAGGGTGGGGCTGATGCCGCATAGCCTTGATCCAGATTGTTTCTTCGACTTTCATCTTTAGAACTTCCTACACAGCCTGTGGCTATTTTCTGGAAGTGAAGACAACGGAAAATACGCTAATTAGTGAATATATTCTTTTTGTTTCTTTCCGAATTGCAAACGGTAAAAGATTCCTCGCGTGATTACGTGAGAGAAGGGGGAGGAAATCTTTAACACCAGGAAATATGTTAAATGTTTTTTCATGTATTTCAATGCGGTCAGATAACATTTTTTCGTTCTTGACTTGAAATAACTAGTAGGCTGAAACTGCATGCCTAAAGGAGCGTTTAATTGCTAACTACAAGTAAGTATACATGGGCGTCTGCTGAAAAATTTTTCAAGAAGGGGATCCATGACTGAAGACTCTGGAATGCGCGATGTGATATTTTTATCAATAGGAAAAAACATGTACTATACATGCAACCAATACGAAGACACATTTTGGTTTCACGATCCAAGGGAAAGTAAGCTTCAAATTAGCCTCCACTTATTGAAATACATGCAAGTATATGGACCTTTGTATGGGTTATCTGATTCAGTATTCATATTTCGATTACTATGTAGAGACATTACGATTAATTGGAAAAGCCGGAAAGATGAAAAATGAGCAAACGCCTTCCCTGGGAATCGAACCACGGACCTCTCAATGGCGCGCTGAGTAACACGTAAACGCGTGAGTTTATGCAATTTCTGGCTTTCCTCCAATTGACATTGCCATTCTTTGTGCTTTTGCTTATAAGGAAAGTATTTTTGCTTCTGCTGTCTCCTCAGTATGATTGTATTTTACCTCCATCTGATCTTCCTCATCCTTCAGAAAGAAATGCTGTTAATTTTATTCAGTTTAGCAGTAAAATCGTAGGTGATTCGCCTGTAACTTGCTATACTGATGGCAAGGTTGGTCTCGCATTTGTTGTCTTAAAAAGTGGTTTTGAATTTGAGTACTTTCAATTTAGAATTAGAGATTTATGTACCGTTTTTATAGCTGAACTTTTGTGCTTCGCCATCAAATGGGTTTCTGAACAAAATAGTGCTGTTTCAGACTATCTCATTTGTACTGATACCCTTTCATCCTTGGAGATCTTAAAATGTATTTCTCCTTCTAATAATATCATTATCGAGATTCAAAAAGAACTGAAAAACCTAAAAGATAGAAATATTTCGGTTGCATTTTCATTTGTTCGTGGTCATACAGGTGTTGCTAAGGCTTACAGGTCATACAGGTGTTGCTAAGGCTAAGGTCATACAGGTGTTGCTAAGGATTTCTTTGCTAAGGCTGCGACTAAGCGGGAAATTGACACTTTTGTCAATATTCCTAAATCCTTTTATAAGAAGGTCATGTATGAAAGTATTGTGGAGTCGTGGAACCACGAATTCCTTAATTCAAATAAAGGGAGCTTAACAAAGAGATTTTTCCCTTCTATCAAGATGAGATTGTCATGTCATCACTTCTTCACTGACTATAAATTAACCCAATTTCTTACTGGCCATGGAAATTTCAAAAGTTATTTGAATAGATTGAGCTCCGAATCTGCCTGTGATTGTAGCCTCGGTGGAGAGGAGAATGTTGAACATGTGCTTCTTCTATGTCCTAAATATAAGAACGAAAGAAAAATCTTGAAACTGGAACTGAAAAACTTTAATATTAATTGGCCTCCAGAATTTTACCAATTTATTTCCGAGAGAAGTGCTTTTAACACTTTTTGTCAATTTATTGTGAAATTTTGTAATCATCCTTAATTTTATTTCAGTTTTTTCCTCTGTTTATTTTGTATTGTGTTTCATACTTACTTCTGTAATCCCCATGTGATACTATGTGGTACATGGGGAACTTATTGTGTTCCCCATTATTTCTTTAATTAAAAAACATCATCGCATGACGATAACATCGCAGACATGCTTTTTCAGGTTTTAATAACTATAAATGGATATTCTCATAAAGATTTGTGAGCGCAAGATGTAAAGAGGAATAATTTTTACTTTTACATTTTTTTATTAACTAATACATTTTTGCTGAAAAAGTAAGAAGGAACTTAAGCATAGAAAATTAAATGCAACTTATAGATTATACTTTTCCTGAAAAATTACTAGTAAAATCTTTATAAAAAATGATTTGTTAATGGCCTTTGTTATGCCTTTGTTGATGTCGGTTTAAAATTCTATAAAGTGCTATAAGTTGCATTAATTTTCTATGCTTAAGTTCCCTTCTTATTTTCTCAGCAAAAATTTATTAGTTAATTAAAAATATGAAAGTAAAAATTATCCTTCTTTCCATCTTGCGCTCACAAAGCATTATGGGTATATCCATTTACAGTTATTAAAGCATGTCTGCGATATTATCGTCATGCGATGATTTGTAGATACTTTATTTTTTACCACGATATTTTCGACGACGATGTTTTTAAACTGCGAAGATTTTGAACAGCTTTATTTTCGACGACGATATTTTGTACCACGATGTTTTAGAACTGCGATGTTTCCTCTTTGCGATGTTTTCTCCCACGATGTTTTGTAGCACGACGTTTTCGCCTTGCGTTGTTTTCTCTGCGACGTTTTCGCCCGCGATGATTTTGCCATGATGTTATCGGCAGACACCATATGGAAGTAGGGGTGAATGTTTTAACAAAATGTTATTCCATTATTAGCAATTGTTTGATCGCAATAAAATCTGACAAGAGAAGTGAGGGAACAAAGATGAAAAATTAATTAAAATTACAATTAAAAATTAGGTAGCAAAGACTCCATATATCGAACAATCTTTAAAGTGTGTCATACGAGTTTGATGTATATCCACCTCCGGCAGCCATGCATGAGAATATCTGGTCGAGCGTGGACTTAGGTAAGGTATGGACGTAATCAAGCCCTTCACAGGACAAAATCTGGAAGCAAATTTCGCAGGGCAAGTTCCCAGATATTTAGCCATTTCTGACAGTTTCTGATATGACTATATCTAACATTTAAAAAGATTCATACGTAACCGACTGGAGGGAGTATTGGAAACATTACAGGCCAAAAGGTGGCTGTAACGCTACACAGACATTACCTGAAAACGTTCGCCAGGTGCTGACAGATAATATATTCCTGAAAAATTACATTGAAAGATGAAGGCGTACTGGTAAAGGAACCGTTCTCAGGATGGACCTTGAAGGCTGCCAAGGAGTAATCCGTAAAATATGATTAGCTGATATAGGGAATAACTTCCGAAATGGTAACACCAAGTATGATGGAAGCAGCTTAACAATATGGGATTGATAAGCATTGCTAAGCCTCTTCTAGATACAGAGGCATTGGTCATCGGAGCCAGGCAATGCCTGTGTCTAATCGCTGAGTTTGTCTTCAACACAATATTATTTTAAGCTGTACTCGATACATTCAGTTTTTACATAGAAGATCATAGCTGGGAGGAATCTGAAGATCCCATACCTTTCTTCGTCTCTATCAAAGTCTTAAGAAGGCTTCCTAACCGACGCATTTTCAATGCTCCAGCTTCTCAAAAACCTAGTTCTTTGAATCTTCTATAATTCCAACCAAAACTCATCACCTCAAAAATCATCATTTTCTAATCATTCTACCCTTCCCTGCAGGGCAATCGTATTTCATTGAGGATACAAAAATTTATTTAATTATAATTACATAGTTTTGTAGCGAGATACATATTTTTGAATGGATATGAATTATGTCAATTTGCTTTTGCTTTTATTTCTAAATACTTTTCCTGTTATCCATGATTTACAAACTTGATTTTAATTTTGCAAATATGTATATTGAGCACATACATGTCCACAATTAACTCCATTTGATAAAATAACAAGCACATTATTTAGACGCATAATTAAATTATACTCAAAATTTATATTGCTCATCATTAATAAATTATCTTTATCAAATACAGCAGCGATGTTATCAAGTGCAAATTGACCTTCTTCTTAACTTCATAAAAGATTCACTAGGAAGAATTTTTTCTTTTGCTTTTTCTTCTTCTCTGTGTTTGACATTCATCTTTAAGTTTGAGGCACGCCCTATTTTTCTTGGGTTTACCCCTTGCTTTGTCAGAAACATATTTTGCTACAATGGAAAAGACCTCAAGGTAAAATGAATGAATTATGGCAATGAAATTCTTCTTCCTTTTCAGTCATTTCAAAAGAAGGAATTAATGAAAATGTTTTATTTTAGAGAAGAAGAGTGTTTCTAAATGAATGCTATTTATATCACATAGAATTGGTCTTCTTTTAAGGAAAATATTTTAATTAAATTTTCAGTTTTTTTATTTTGAAAATAATTCAGTGAAAAAGTGAACTTTCAACCATTAAAATAAAGCATCATTTCTGTACTATGATTCAAAAAATAGGGCTTTTAAATTTAGATGCATATTTTTTATTAAGCAGCATAATTCTTTAATCAAGTTATTGGATGTGTGTATGTGTGTGTGATTATGGCAAAGCCTCGAGGGCTATCTGCCTAAGAGGGGTGCCTTCATGGAGGACTTTCTAAGGGAAACTGGCTCGTATACACGTTACACATGGGGAAAACCACGAAACGCCCATACAGCCAGCCCGTTCGCGGGATTCGAACCTCGGACCGAACTACCAGTGTTCAGCGACTTTACCGCTCGGCCGCTGGTGGGCTAATCAAGTTATTGGAAGTAAAACCTAGTTTTTCATGACATTTCAATTATACTAAAAAGAAAAAATGCATAAATAAGTTTTAATACATAATTTTTATGCATATTTTTACAAGTAGTTTTTG